GGCTGCTGTGGGTGGGATGGCCCGGGAGACCAAATTGGGGTGGGGAGCGCAAGGTAGGGGGAATTGATATCCCAACTGAGAGGAGTATAGTTGTGCCTAGTGTACAGAGGAACAAGTGCTGGCTGTTGCTGTTGAATAATAAAAAATGCCTCCGACGACTGAAAATAGTTCTCCATGGAATTTTGTGATAGGCAGAGCCCAGCAGACCGCACCAGTCCCAGAGCAGTCTAGCGCGGGTGGTCCGCCCCTGATCGACCCAGTTTCTTGTTTCTGCTGGTCCACTGCAAATAATAAGAATAAGGGGGAAAGTCTCAGTCTCCTGTTTATCTGTCCCGGACGACTTCACCCTGGCTTCAACTCCCTTCCACCAACAACCAAACTTTACCTCCCCCGATATCTTTGCCGTGGTGACTGAGTTGCTTCGTGTTCTTTTCATCTTTCTTAACTCTCTCTTCTGCTTCCCCCAAGGCATCTGTATTGGCGTCACATTCTACATCTTGCTACGATGGCTTCACCTCTATCTCCCGTTTCTGCCCAGAGCACCGTCTTTCCCAGGAGCCATGTTGGTTTCGATAGCATCACTTCTCAGATCGAGCGGAAGCTGCTCAAGCGTGGCTTTCAATTCAACGTCATTTGCGTTGGTACGTCTTGTGCCGTTCCCGACTCTCCAGGTTCCCGACTCGCTCTTGACCGTGGTCCCTTCAAACCCAACCCATTTGATATATATCTATATACATCAAAAACTCACAAAAGGTAAATAATTAACGCTGGTGGTATTTTGTTAGGCCAAACGGGACTGGGCAAGTCAACTTTGATCAATACCATCTTCGCATCCCACCTGATTGATTCAAAGGGCCGTTTGAGGCCAGATGAGCCCGTCCGTTCCACTACCGAAATTCAAGCGGTCTCGCATAGTACGTTTCTCTCCATAGCGAACGAATCTTATCTCCAGTTGCCATACATGAAAAAATAATATATCGAATACTTATCATTTCCTCGCACCCATACAGTCATCGAAGAGAACGGCGTACGCTTGCGCTTGAACATCGTTGACACCCCGGGTTATGGTGACCAGGTTAACAATGATAGATGGTATGCGAAAATCATTTGCCCAGGTGGGATCAAAACCATAGCAACTATTTACTGATGGAGATATCTCCAGCTGGGACCCAATTGTCAAGTACATTAAGGATCAACACTCCGCATACCTCAGGAAAGAACTTACCGCTCAGCGTGAGCGGTATATCCAGGACACCCGTATCCATTGCTGTTTGTTCTTTATCCAGCCCTCTGGACATGCGTACGTCTCTTCCTATTTCAACTATTTGAAATATACAGCATTGCTAAAATAAAACATGACAAAAAACAGTTTGAAACCAATTGATATCGTCGTCCTCAAGAAGCTCTCCGATGTTGTCAACGTTGTCCCTGTCATCGCCAAGTCTGACTCCTTGACCCTTGAGGAGCGAATGGCCTTCAAGGAAAGGATCAAGGAAGAATTTGCCTTCCACAACCTCAAGATGTATCCATATGATAACGATGAATTGGACAACGAGGAGCGGGCCGTTAACGCTCAAATCAAGGTAAAATCTGCAATCTACTCCTTTGCATATTCCACATATATAGAAGTCACCCCAATACCTAACTAGATATGCAGGATATCATCCCCTTCGCCGTCGTCGGAAGCGAAAAATCCATCATCGTCGCCGGCAAACAAGTTCGCGGCCGCCAGAACCGCTGGGGCGTGATAAACGTTGAGGACGAGAGCCATTGCGAATTCGTCTACCTCCGCAACTTCCTCACCCGTACCCACCTCCAGGACCTGATCGAAACCACCAGCCAGATCCATTACGAGACCTTCCGCGCCAAACAACTGCTGGCCCTCAAGGAGAGCAGTGCCACTGGCCACTCCAGTGGCAGCCGACCGATAAGCCCATCTACAAACAGGGAATTGAGCAGGAGCTCTCAAAGAATGAATATGAACGGCTATAACTAGATGGCAACGTGGCCGGTGCGTGTTAGCCTTGCTGGAAGAATCTCTGGATTAGCTTGCATTGCATTCTTCCGTAGATGCAATATCCATCGTCCCCTGCACTCTTACTCTCCCTACCACCTAAACTTACACCTGCACCCGTATTTTACCCGTAGGCTCCACAGCTAGCGGTGCAGATAGGAACTGTGTTTAGAAAACCTTGCGCAAATTCTTTTCCCCAATCTCCTGACCAACAATATACTTAAGTCTTTTACAGATATCCCTTTAACTAGTTTCTTATGTGTATGCTTTTCCCTTATTTTCCTTTTTCTTTTTTCCCCTCTCTCCAAGTTTCCCCAATCTTCACCCCTTGCTTGCTCTTGCTAGGCCATTATCTTACCAGCGATGCGTGTGCTTTGGTCAGACATTACTTTTTCCCTACCTTTATATTGCCATTTTGAAGGAGAGGGAGTTTTTTAAAATAAAAAAAGGAATAGTGAGGAATTGAGTTGGTGACAATATGCGAGAATGAGGCTCTTTTCTTTTTCTTTCTGTTCTTTTCCGAGTTTATTAGTTATAGCGCTTTTATTATATCCTTGATCTTTCTAAGTGTTTTAATTTTAGCCTTATTATATTTTCGTAAAGAATCTGAGAAGTCTTTTTGCTCCTTTTTGAAGGTTCACTTGCAATATGTGCGCATGTTATTATATTCTACTTTGAATGAGAGTTCTCTATAGCTTCTGTCTCTACATGTGATAGGAAAGACCAAACAAAGGTTGAAGGAAAGATGCCCTCTCCATGAAATAATCATCTTCAGGTCTCAGTTCAGTATAAAGGTAGGGCTGTCGAAGAGATATTGTACCTATATCTTGCACAAGAGAAAAGTAGGACACAGAAACAAAACAGAATCCCGTAGTCCGAAAAAACCACAGCTGAAGCCCTATGCTGGTACTGTACGTAGCTATTTAGCCGTGTCGGATATCAAAAACTATTAAATCAGACAATTACATACCCATCCATTCATCCATCCACTCATTTTATATAAAAAAAATCCCCATCAACAGATCCCACTTTCCCTTCCCCCCCCCCCCCTTCCCCATCCCCATTCCCCACTCAATCCCCATCCCCAAACCTCCCCCCATCAACCACCCACTCCCTCAACACCCCATATGCGGCCTCCAACTCATCATTAACAATTACCAAATCATGAACGCCCGGCTCTTTCGCGAACTCCAGCTCCTTCCGCGCCTGCTCCAGGCGCGCCTGCAGACTCTCCTCCGTCTCCGTCCCGCGGCCACGGAGGCGCTGCTCCAGCACCTTGAGTGAGGGCGGCGCGACGAAGAGGAAGCGCGCGTTGAGATCTGTGCGTTTTACTTGTTTGACGCCCTGTGTTGTGGAAGGTGGGTTAGGTTGGTTGGTTGGTTGGGTAAGGAAATGTGTGTGTTGGGAGAGGGGGGGGGGGGATTTTAATATACCTCCATCTCAATATCCAGGACGCAAATGCGCTTTTTCTCCGCTACATCTTTTACGGCCTTGGTGCTGGTGCCGTAGTAGTTCCCGCTGAACTGGGCCCATTCTATAAAGCCCCTTTCGTCGATGAGGGATTTGAAGGCATCTTTTGTTGTGAAGTAGTATTCGCGGCCATCTTGTTCGCCGGGGCGTGGGGAGCGGGTTGTATCTAATGTATTTTTTGTTCAAGGGTTAGGGGTTTTTTTTCTTTTCCTTTTCTGCTAGATATAATAATTGGTATGATAGCTGAAGGGATTGGTAAGGTTGTAGAAGGGGAGCTCGCTGCGGTGGAGAGTTTCGGTGTGGTTATGCTTACGAGAAACTGAAAGGGCAAATGTGTCTGGGTAATCAGCGAAGAGTCTTTTTATCAGAGTTGATTTGCCCGTGCCGGACGGTCCTGATATTACTACGGGGCGGAACTTGCGTACTGCTGCTGTTGAGGTTTCTTCCATGAATTGG